ACCAGTCCCCAGCTGGTCCTCTGAGGCAGGTATCATGGGTACTGCTGGCATCCAACACAAGGGAAAAGGAAGGAGAAAAGCTGCCAGGCATGAGGGAGACAGGATGTGAACAGAGAATCAGCCAGGGACCACTTTAAATACCTACAGCACTGAAAACCAGCACGTACAGAGGGGACTCACTCAGCAGTTTCAGCTCTGTATAGGGTAGAGAGGTGTCTCTGGGCTGCCTGATGGTAACCAGGGGAGAGAGGTGGCTGCCTCCAGAGCGTAACCTGCGTGTGCCTGACACGCATCCTCTCGCAGGACATCAGGAGGTAGAGCTGCCTTGCCTCTAGAGAGGTGAAATAAATCCCAACCACCATGCTAAGTCATGTGAGAGCCCAGGAAATGTCTCTGAGAGCTGTTGGATCGTGCGTGGCTCTGTGTAGTGATGTCACTTGCGTGACAGGTTAAAGACTTTTCATACTAATTTCAATTGACTTTGAAAAATGAAAGCAGGGTGCTAGCAAATGGCTGAAATTATTGTCTAAAGCACGGGTGGGGAAGCCCTAGTCACTTCCTCCTGCATCCGCTGCAGTTCCAGTCGCTGTGGTAACACACACCCACATGGATTCTGGGCTCCCGCTCACTCTGCGTGGCAACAACGATGGGAGACAGCACATTTTCTTACTAGCTCTTAAAATAAGCCTGGTATGACTAAAATGCAGCAGTGGTACTTTAGAAACTAAATAACTGCTTAATTTCCATAACATGGAGGTGTTCTCACTCCATTCCTGTACCACTGCAATTACTAAACTAAAAGGATGATCAAACTTTAAATAAAAAAAACCTAACACCCCCCCCCCCCCCCTAAACTTTCAACCCCTCCTTCCACACCTGATACCTTAAACCTATCTCCAATGCAGAGCAAACACCCTGGATCTCAAAATGCCACACTCCAAAAACCAAGCAGATCTTACTCTGTCTCAATTAAAACTGAGCACAAGGAAGGAGTGATATTGAAACGCACTATACTTGGGGTAGTCAGGAACATATGCCAAGGTGAACACAGCTCTGAAGCTTAATGTACACGAGAGCTGGGAGAGTTATTAATAAGCTGCCAGAATGAGGAAAAGTAGTTGATGCAGGAACAAAAGCAACAACTGGAGACAGCAAAACCAGCCTTGTGGTCTCTTGGTGAAGGGTGATACAGTGCAGACGGTCTCTGCAGCCAAAGAGAGAGTTTAGGGACTCTCCAGATAAAAGGCTGTTTTACTGAGGAGGCAGCTTGTGGAGCTTTATGTGGAGATAGAAGGTAAATTCACTTGTACCATTTCTGTGGAAGATCTTTCTCCAATCCAGTAGGAACAGGGCTTTGATCGGACTGCAGGAGGAAATGGCTCGAGCAAGTCAAAAGATGGCACTGTTCAAATAGCTGCATTTTGAGAGAAATAACAATGCCTCATCCTGGGCAAAGAAAACTTGGAAAGCTCCCTTATTTAATCTACCACCAATTTCACTGGGATTTAAATGTTGCCTTAATTTATGCAGGCTGAACTTTTGAAGTGCTTTACTGGATATGGGCCAAAGGAAATAGGTGCCTTTTGCAGCTTGAACCAGAATATTTCACTCTTAACATCAATGATTAAAACAGCTAAAGCAGTTCCTAAAGGCTGCAATACAGTAAGAATGTGCCTTTCCATCACCATTCCCTTCTTAACTAGGGCTCAGAACCATAAAGTTTTCCTCCACAGACCCTGCTGCCACAGGTGGGAGTTCTGTCAGGTGATCTGCACAATCTCTACAGTCCTGTGATGTTTTCATTACCATGATCAAATAAAGTTACAGTTCAAGCGTCTCTGGTGTAGATCCTCCAAGGTTGATCAGTTCCTACCTAGGCTGACAGAGCTGTGTGCCATCAGACCTCGTACTAAACTGGAGAACTAATCAAGGTCTGTTAGAGCTCTCCGGTAATGGGAGACCCCTGGGGCGCTGACCTGCTGCAGTGCACCAGGTAGCTTTAAATTGTGACAGGAGACAGGTACTCACACATGGGCCCTGCTGCTCCTCCAAGCCCTTCCCCTGCCGAGGAGTGCGGAGTGCGCCTGCAAATGGACAAGAAAATCCAGTCAGTGAGCTCCCCTGCCTATCTCTGGACAACTTCTGAGGTTTAATAATTGGATTCTTTCTCTATCCTCATTTATCAAGGAAACTGTCCAAGTATTACTGAAACTCACTTGGATTCCTTTGTGAAGGATCATTCAGGTTTAGCCACCAGTGCAGCTGGGATATCAGAAGCCAGAAGGCATACAAACTTAAATAAATAAATAAATAAATAAACAAACTCCTCCCAAACCTCCCAAGTGCATAGTCTGAGAAACCTGAACGGGCTCAGGGTGCAGATGTGTTTAACTTGAGCTGAAGGTCATGATCCAGAGCTCCCCTTCTTTTTTCTTAAGGAAACTATATTATTACATGCATTGTTTTAATACAGTTTGGGCGGTTTTAAACTGGGAGGAGTAGAAGAATGTAGCAACTGCATATGCACAGATATATTGTTTTGTGGACAACAGTTTATTACACTGTAAGAAACAGAATAAGCTTTTATACAAATCAGAAAAGTGTGACAAAGTATCAGCTAAATATTACAGTACTAGACCATGTCTCAAGCTATACATTTTGATTAATAACTCAGAGGATAATTAATGCACAGGTACATCTCATTCATCAATAAATATTTCACTATTTAATACCCTCCAAAGGAGAGTCAGAAACTGAAACTCACAGGCACGTTACTTTGAGCATGGCTGTCATTTTGAAGTAACCACGTGCATTTATCCACCTTTCAGCACATGAATTTGAAGATCAACAGATGTAGTTAATAATGCATTGATGTTCCCACCTGAAACTTGTTTTGACCATGTACAGCACCTCCCTCACTGTCCAGTCAACATGTAAGACTGCTGGATCCCACTACAGGGTGGATCTCAACTGAAGACTTAAACTGGTTTGTCCACCACGTCAGTGAGATTCAGTTGTTCTATTTTTTGCTACCTACTTTAATAAAAAGTACCACAATAATTTTTCTAAAGTAAAAAAATATTTCATGATGGGGATCTTAATTAAAGCAATACTGCTTGGCAATATTAACTGGGCAGGAAAGGCTACTACTCATATCTGAAAATTCCCCTGAATTTTAATTACCTCACATCCCAGTATTTTCAGGCTTTCAAAACATAAAGACCTCTTAAGACCTAATAAAACATCAGCGTTCTCACAGTTGTCCCCAGATACAGACAGGAAAATGACAGATTCTTCAATATTTCGAAACAAAACCAAACATTAAAAAAACAGGTATGACTTTTTTGACCAAACTGTTCAACCTGAATATGCAGAGCGGTTTGCCAAGCAGAACTGGCCTTTCTCAAACACAGATCAACAAATTTTGCAGCATCTAAAAGGTCTGGCAGCGAGCCCATGGTAGGTCTATCTGTTCCCTTTGGTCAACGAAGCAATAAAGCACCGTATGAAAGCAGCTTATTTGCTTTTCAGTAGAGGATCAACTGTCTTTTGAAGGAGCCTGTGCCTCCCCCTCCAGGAGTGAGATTCTGGGGTTCAGAGGCCCAGGACCTAGAAGACGAGCTTACCCTGAGCATCTAGTCTGTGGAGAGATGACTCACCTGTGCACTCCAGAGCAAATACACACACATGGGGTTACATACAAACCGTCAGGCCGTGACACAAAGCAAGTGTCCCTCATCTTCGGCACACTCCATTTAAAATTGCTTTATCTTTTATAAGTCTGTGTGTGCTGGAATCTTTATTTTAGATTTTCACAGTTTACGGTCGACTGTTAACATTTTTATTTGAATGAATACAAATTCATTGGCCTGGAAAACAACTGAGTTGAGGTTTTTTGTTTGTTTAAAATCACCCCCAAAAAGCAAGGACTGGTGTCCAGGAACACTATCTCTGTACTTCAGCCTGGAGAACCCCAAAGTTGTCACTCATCTTGCCCATTAATTTTTAGCCTTCATCACGCCTTACTGCTTGACTAACTATACAACACTTGGCTTGCTACAAACAGGCACTCTTCCCTCACATTTGCATTTAGTGTTCTTGCAGAACATGAAAAGACCACCTTGCCAGGGGAATCAGATCAGTGAAAGTCTGAAGTGTGTATCTTCCCTTCTGTAAAAAAGCTCCCTCTTTGCTCAGTTCATTTGCACTATGTCTAATCTTACATTCTCAATAGGAGGCTGATACAACATCTATAAACACATCAAACCTTATTTTAATGCAGTATGTAAAAAGAAATCCCTGAAAATTGAACAACTGAAACCAAAAGATGAAAGGGAGACAGGTATATTTATCATTTTGGGGCTAATGGATTTTTAAAATCATATTAAATCATAGAGGACATGGAAATTCATTTTCCTGCTTAATTCTGTCAGCATTTTTCCCTCTGACAGCTACATGTTTATCTTGTTTGTGAATAGGATGAGCAATTCCTCTCTGAAAACATGAGATTTATGAAACATACATTTACAGTAAACCTAATAGCTCCAGTTGGTACTGGACAAGCAGCTGGGAAGAGCCAAGGCTTTACTATCTCAACAGGAACTTTGACACCACAGCCAGGCTTTTATACATTCATCCCCTAGCAGAGACAGGCAGCTTCCTCCCAGAAATGCACGACTGCCTCTGTTGGTTAGCTGCTTGACTGCCAGAGAATGCAATAGGAAACTCTGAGGAGTTCAGGTTTTTCCCTGTATCAGATGTCAAATGGTAGGAGAGAAAAAAAATAAAACCCATGTCTTTTTCATTCCTAAATCTAAGAGTCCAGTTTCGTCTCTCTGGATCTGAAAAATTTTCATCACAACCTCATTCCCAGTACCACCTCTAGACTCTCCAGTGCCTTTGTCCTGAAGCCCCCACACTCCCGGAGGTGGATAAGGAGTGTGGGAGGTCCTCTCCTCTGTTCAAGGATGATACTGTGGTTTGTTCTGAACACATCACAGCTACTGCTGTTTAGAGAATCTGAGGTTGTCAGAGAGAAGGAATTCCAGTTCAACAGTATCATCAGTGGTCTCTACTGGTACATTACTCTCTTCCACGGGGGGTGAGTAATTCCGTACTTCATGTCTAGAAGCTAGTATCTTTGCAGTCCCATTGCAAGAGCATGGCTCTGGTTGTCTGGTGCTGTTTGAGGAAACACGGTTTGGATGGTAAAGGCCTGGAGAGGAATTTGGTTGGCAGTGACTAGGGATGTAGTACTTAGTTGCCACTGGACTTGATTCTATTTGATTATGAAAAGGATTATTAGCCATGCAACAGGTCTGGAGACAGTTACTATTTTTGAATCCATGATGAAGGCCTAATTTAGCAATCAGGGGCTTCCCAACATTAACTTCCTTTCTTTCATCCATTGTATCTTCTATTCCTGGATACTCATAGTGCAAGCAAACAGTGAAGATCAAGTGTTCCTGCACAAGAGGAAAGAGAGGAGGAGGGGGCAAAAAAGGAAAAAGAAAAAAAAAACCAAACAGTTACACTTCCTCCCAAAATAAACAATATAGGAAACACTTAAAGAGGAACAGTCTACTGGAGAAGGAGATTAGCTTTTTTAGGAGCTAAAGACATGTATTAGACAAGACTTGTTTACTGAGGACCTCTCTTGGTTAATACTTGCTCACTTGATAGTCTTTATTTCTAGAAGCACTTTAATTACACCAGCTGCCAAAAGCACTGAATAAGAGCCACCAGGTGTGTCCAGCACAGATATTCATGACACAGAGATACAGAGATAAACTTAACAGTGCCACAGGATATTGAAGTGAGAACCTTTCAAAGACAGCATTGCCCGGAGCACAGGCTGCAATGGAAGGAGATGATATGTAACATTTTCATCTCCTACTAACAACTTTGTCAGATGCAGATCTGCTTCAGGCCACATGCTTCTTGGACTACAGAGCATAGGAACATCCCCACAGTGTGCAACAGGTGATCTTCACAGCAATAATCATCCTGTCACAGTTCAGTATGGGCCTAGAAAATAAAGTGCCTTACACAATGGTGTCAGGATTGCATATGCATCGACTTCCTGGCTTCTATTTTTCAGCTAAGAAACTAAAGTCACTAAATTGTGCTATTAGCCATTTTTTCCCCTCCAAAGAACATGTTACTTATTACGCAGACAATACACAGCTATCTCTACAGAACTGCAAAGCAGCATGATTAATCTAAATTATCTGAACAAACTTGTGAGGAATAATATATATTAACCCTTAGTTTTTGCAGTGAACTTAGCCTGGTGTAGAGGCAGTGTTTGGGAAGGTCCTTTGACACTAAATAGCTTCCAGTTTCCTCAGGAGTTCCTTTATTGGCCTCTTTAGGATCCACATCCAGGTCCTATTGCAAGGAAAAAATGAGAACTTAATTGAAGGTACAGAATTTGTAGATCATAAAATAGTTAGCAGTATTTCTTTATAAAAAGTCAGCATTTTCTTCTTCTGAAAAGGAAAGAAAACACCAATATTGGATTATGTTCAAAAGCTGCTGAAAGCACTGTCAGTCAGGCAGAAGGGGTTACATTGGAGTAGGGTGCCCTCTTTTGCCAGTGGTTCCTGTCAAACTTGCTGTGCTTGCTTCAGGGTTGCTCTTTTTACCTAACTTCTGCTATGAAGTACAGTGCTACAACCCTAATTCTGTGGTCTAAATATATGCATTTGTTATGCACATTAACTCAAATATTTTATTCATAAAGCATCAGAAGTGTCCTGGTGTTCTATTTAAAAGGTTTTCTGCCCCATATCCTCTTTCACAGACATCAGAAAAGAAGGGGTTTTTTGCCCCAAGGAGCTTTCTGTTTCACTCATATCCTTTGCTTTACTGTGATCAGTTGAGTAAAAATCAATGAAACTGGACGGGATCACCCAGGTGCAAAGAACTGTAAAACTAAAGCCTAAGAAACCTTGTCCTGCAAGGCAGATGTGTCCTCAGCTCATGTAGGAGCTACTGGCATTTCACTTCTTTAATTAAATATAACAAATACATGATATTAGACAATGAAAACCAAAGAAGACTTTGAAAATATGACTCCAGATTAATTTTAATGTATTTTTATATATATTAAAATATCTTTTTTTTTAAAAAAAAAAGTAAATGTGTTTCTACAGACACACACATGTAAGCACCTGATTTCAAGAGTTTAGATCCATTCTGTTACAAAAGATGCAGTTTGACATGGACAGACCAGACAGTTTTCAACATCAGTGGAGGGGGATCACTGAGACACCAAGAGGAAGCACTTACGAGTGCGAAGTCTGTAACGTAGGCTCTGCAAACTTCTATTTCAGGTGGCTTCTTCACTATTCGTGTGTAGATTATCATGACATTGGAAAACTCGGCTGCAAATCCCAACTGAATCTGAACACCACATTTGAATTCAAGATACATACTTTCTGGAAGCTCTGCAAATAAATAATTCATCATTACATTGTTACTTGGCATATGTATTTTCTATTTTCTTAATTTTGTTTTTAAATTTGAAAATTTAAAAAGGTGTAGAGCTCTTCCTCCTGCCCTCCCTCTAACCTATCACTTACATATTTACGCTGAAGCAAACCAGGACAGAAGCCAACCAGGCAGCCACGCTGCTTGCTAGTGCCACGTGGCACCTGTCGGACGCTGCCAGAGAGAGCTGACAACTTCTGCTTCACAGCTTTCTTTCCAATCTATAGCACTATAAGAACCTTTGAATTTGACAGCAGAACAAGTTTCAGGTTATTTTTTTTCCTTTCACAGCCTATGCACACATTCATGAAGCCCAGCCCCCAGCATTTTTCTTCTTTGTATTTTGGATCTTTCTTAATCCATAGGAATATATCTGAAAGTGCTGAAGGGTCAATGACATCATCTTGTGTCTGCTTTGTACTGATTTTTTACTCCCACTGAAAGTGGGATTATTTAACATTATCACAGACATACCTTTAAACAAATATAAAGGTTATTCTCTTCCTAAATGCCAAACACATTCTCTTCCATGCATGGCTTAAAACAAATAAACCATAAGATAACATTACACCTTTGTAATTTTTGCTGTGGATTTCAGTCATTTACCAAACAAGAATTAAGGGCTTGATTCCACAAATAAATATCTACATGTGTGAAAGAGTCTGCCTACATGACTAGGTGTCTTAGAAATACCACCCCTGACATTCTGCCCAGTCAAAGAAATTTTAAAACATACTCCAACATATTTAGGTGAAGAAGATAAAAAGGTCTTAAACCCCACTACTCTTCTTAAAAGAAGGAAAGCCTTGAACTGATCTCACCCTTATTTTAGTTTTCTTAGTTGTATACACTGAAAACTTCTCATCATGCACTTCTACCGTACAGTTCACCTGGCAAGTTCAGGTGATGACTTCAGAATGATTAACGATACCTTAAAGGTGTCCTTTGCGGTCACAATCACTCTACTGGGAGATTATCCCAGGAGACAGACATCATATAAGTCTCCCCTACAGTGTTTGAGTGGTCTGAAATATACTTACTCAGGATGAATTCTGCATGTCACCTTGTTCATTACGATCTCATGTAGAGGCAAACCCCAACACAAAAACTTCCAAGATCTGAACACACTAATGAAAATTCAGATATGAACCTGAATTTCTTCCATTTCTATTCAATATCACAGCCCACAGACTAGAGTTGTTAAAGAGTACATCCCCTTATTTTTCCCACTGTGCCAGTAGGATCATCTAAAAGCAGACTGTACCATACCATGAGCTTTGGCCCACTGTAGGTTCCGTGCCAGAGACTCTGCAGAAGACGCGGTTTGTTGAATGGGATCAGTCAGTGCCCTTTTCTCGGACAAACTGCTGCGGATCTCCAGAGCTTGCTTGCCTTTGGTAAGGTGACACTTGCCCATATCTAAGAATAAGATGGACATAATTTCTCTCAAAATCAATGCTGCTGAAAATCTCACTAAATTAAGTTCATCACTGTGATGTCTGGTTGCCATGGTTACGCCAGTGTCAGCCTGTCCATAACAACCTGTAGTTTCAGAAGCATTCCTTGCGCAGCTGTTCATTCACTGGAGGCTAAAGCAGCACGTCAGATGCCTGCAGATAATCCTTCGGGTTTTCCATGTGTCCTAGTCAACATGCTCACATGTTTTTCAAAACCAGTTCAAGCAATATCACCGCTCCGATTCAGTAGTGTCCTAATTAAAGTGACTAATTGCAAGAATTAAAATAATACCATCGGAGGGGATTTCTAGAGAACTGGAGGCAACTGGAGGATTTTAGGGGTCAATAAAGGGGCCAATACTGTTTGTTTAACATCATCACTAATGACCTGGATCACAGAACAGAGCGCACTCTCAGCAAGTTTGCAGATGATTAAAAACTGAGAGGAGTGGCTGATACCCCAGAGGGTTGTGCTGCCATTCAGAGGGACCTGGACAGGCTGTAGAATTGGTCAGAGAGGAACGTCATGAAGTTCAACAGTAGGAAATGCTGAGTCCTGCACCTGGGCAGGAATAACCCCAGGCACCAGGACAGAAAGGGGACTGACTCGCTGGAAAGCAGCTCTGCAGAGAAGGACCTTGGGGACCTGGTGAACACCAAGCTGACCATGAGCCAGCAATGCATTCTTGTGGCAAGGGCAGCCAACCAGAAGGGCAAGCCAAAGGGTGATCCCTCCTCTCTGGTCAGCACTGGTGAGGCCACAGTCTGGAGTGCTGGCTCCAGTGCTGGGCTCACCAGTACAAGAATGACACATATGTACTGGAGAGAGTGCAGTAAAGGGTCCCAGAGATGAGGGGCCTGGAACACTTCTCATATGAGAGAAGCATGAGGGAACTGGAGCATCTTTCATATCAGGAGATGTTGAGACTGTTTAGACTGGAGAGAAGGTGGCTCAGGGAACCCATCATCAATATGTATAAATACTTGACAAGGGAAAGTAAAATAGACAGAGACAGACTCTTCTCAGTCAAGACCAGTGACAGTACAAGAGGAAGCAGATGCAAACCAAAAAAGAGAAAATGCCACTTAACCATAACAAACAACTTTTTACTCTAAGGGCGATCAAACACTGGCACAGGTTGTGCAGGGAGATTGTGGAGCTTCCACCCTTGGAGACATTCAAAACCCAAAACACATGGACAAGGTCCCGAGCAATTGCCTCTATTTCACTCTGCTTTGTGACAGTCCCCAGAGGTCCTTTCCAACTTTAACCAGTGTGCAATTCAAACTTATTCCAATTAATTAGGGTCTCTCTATATTTAGTTCAGTTACTTACAGGTAACATTTTCAGATAGTTCTACTGCATGCAGGAAGTCAAAACCTATGACTTGCAAAGTGAATTTAAAAGATCCTGGAAAATTTTTGTTCGAGTTCACAAAAAATGAAATAATGAAGGGTGTTTACATGGAACACTTTTAATGTGACACTCCTCTGGAACATTTTCAAGTGTCATCAGTGCACCAGCATACTCACTAACACCCAATATCTGGTAATACTGACAACAATGGTTGTCACGTTGCCTGATAAATCAATCTTTCTCTCCACTCTGAGTTCATGAATGAGATAAGTAATAGGTCACTCACTGGGCCACCTACAGCATGTGACATTAACCTGGCAGCACCGAGGAAGCAGTAAGAGTC